ATGGAAAACTCGTAATATCTTCCAATCACCGACAAATGTTTCCAATTTCAAGACGGAACGACACTATGAAATCAGCATCGACTCTTTTACATCCGGATTTTAATAAGACAGTGAAAATGGAAAATTATAGACTATTACAATTTCCTCACTCTTCGTTCATTTATTTTATATTATGAAAAATTTCTTTCATAAAATTTAATTTATTTTAATAATTCCGATATGTATATCGAAAGAAAAAAATAAGACAAACCCTTTTTGGGATAGACCCGCAAGTAGAGTTTTTGATTTATCATTCTCGAAGAATCTCGTTTTCCCTGCGGATTTTCCTTCGAGTTTATTTTGTAGCATTATTATAGCTTATTCTGTTCTCTGTTTCCAGTGATTCCCTGAGTGCTATTTACAACGTTTTCCTTCCTCTCGTCATACAGACGTTTTTTTCGTTGTTCAATTTTTTCCTGAACAGAAAAATAGAATTAAAAATTTAAATAAACATTTCAAAGAAAACAAATGGAGAAAAGAAAGTGCGAAAAAAATTCCTTTAGAGTGAGAAATAATGATAAAATTAAAATTCTAATTTATGAGAAAAAAGTCAGTGAGAGAGTCTAAAAGATTTACGAGGCAACTACAATAATTCAAAGGGGCGCGCGAAGTGACTCTTTAAAAATTATTAAGTTACATGGAAAAGCAGCAGATTGGCGAGCTCGAAGAAGGAAAGCCGTCAAAAATGAAGGATTAAAGAGGAGAGATTAAATGAAGGAACGCTTTGTAATTAGATAAAAAAAAAATCTCCCGAGAAAGGTAAACATTTTTTAAAGAATAAAAATCTATTTATTTGGAAATTAACTACGAAACGAAAAATCAAGAATAAAAAGAAGGGAATTTAGGGAAATTTATGGAGAAAATTATCTCCGAGATAGAGACAGGGAATAATTAGAGATCATTAATGATACTATAAGGATCATGAATCATCAAAATCGCGCTTTAGATTTTCAGATAGAGCAAAGGTTTGGCAGAGCATCGAGTTTTCCCTGGAGGCACGTTTCCGGTAGCTACCCGTTAAAAGGGACATTCTGAGTGCGGTGTAGGGGCCTGTTTCATACAAATGGGTCTCCGGAGAATTCGATCAGGGCGAAATTTGCCCCCAGGAGATGCTTAACGGTTTGGTGGAGGCATCACAATCGATCGCATTCGATCATCGACTCTATATGTCCATCTGCTTCTCTCTCACTTACTCACTTGTTTTCTCTTCATCTCTCTTTCTCTCGCAACATGTTCGTTAATACTAACTATTATTCAAACAGCCGCACACTGTACTGCGACGACTGATTTTCCAACTTTACATCTGTTATCGCTTTTTCAAACCAGAATTGTACAGAGTTGATAATCTTGTTAACACACTGCATCAGTACATCACTCTCATAAAAACATTACCTTTCCGCATTATTGTTTCAGCAAACATTCGGTATTTTTTATTCCATCCCTCGCCAACAACATGGGGACAAAAAATACCTGTTAATTTTTTTTTTTATAATTTTCTGTTTATGACCTTAACAAAAATGTTTCCAAAAAAGAAAATAATGATGTGTTTCAATTTATGAGTAGAATTAATAATATGTTAAAAATTAGAATTTTGTTGGTTAATAACCTTTTAAAAAATGTTCAAAAGTCACGTGACGTAAGACAAAAAAAACCTTTTCCTGGATGAAATTTTATTGAAAAAGTAGAAACGCCTTAAAAAAAGAAATAGAAGACCCTCTTCCAATACGATCGATTACTTTATCTTTTTATCAGAAAAAGGACACTGGCGAGAAAAGATGCTTACACTGAATTCGAAACATGGAGCGAAGCGTCACGACATGAATTTTATGAGGGCTTTGTTCAAGTTCAAGACAAGAATACTGAGTAAGACGGGACGATATTTAAGTTTAGATGAAATGCTCACAGATCTAGTTAAAAATGTAATGGAATTTTTATTTTTGTAATCCAAACCGAAGAAATTGTATTAAAAAATCTTTTTTAGTTCCTAAGACCAATTATAATTTTATGCTAAAAAAATATCAATTACAAAGTAAAAATTATTCAACGAATCTAAAGAATGATGATATAGTCATATTCTTGTTCCAGTTTTGTAGAATTAAATTTGTCTTATTTTTCCCGAATGTAGGTACTTGAAATATTTCTCAGTGCAAAAGTTACAATGAAGCAGAACTTTCGCTGAATAGTATAATATTTTCAAACTATATATACACGAGAGGAAGATTCTAGTCGTTTGAAGAAAAATAGGAAGATATCTGATTTTTATGCTACACGCTTTCCTATTCGCCAGTCGGATCAATTTAAGATACATCTCTCAAGCCTTATGCTTCACAGTACGTCTTCTTGAAAACTATTCGAGTGAAACGACCGACGGATTCTACTCTGCGATAAAAATCCTGGCATACCTCCTACACTTTGAATTTTCCCCTGAATTTTTTTTATATATATATATCTAAAGTTCATTCTTTCGTTAAACTTCCAAAGGAAGACTGAATCTAAATTTCTCATCTTTATCTTCTTTTTTTTGTATTCAAATGTTAATTTTTCTCAATGCAATATAGAAAAGAATTTTTAATTATAAAAGTAGTTAAATTTGGATGATGATAACTTTTAGTGTGAACGAGAATGAAATATGAATGTTTTCATATATTTCAGTTGGTGAAAAGTTATTTCTTATGGGACTATTTTCTTCCTTATCCTAATTTTTTACTATTCAATAGAAGATGTAATTTTAATAAAGCGTCTAGACAGATGCCATGAGCAGATTTCATTCTTACGCAAAGGAACATGAAATTTGGATGAAGAAAAAAAATTGTTGCGTGTGGATCTTTTATAAGCTAAACTTGACATATGGCAATGTGCCATAACTTAGATATATTGATATCTAAGTTCGATTATACGAAGACTGCCAATTTCGGGAGAGATCCCAACTCGAAAGGAATAAAATGGAGAAATTTCTTCCCTTTGGAGTTTTCGTTGTGCATATGCAGAGTACTTATAAAGAAACTTTCTCGTATTCCTAAGGATCGCTGCGGAACGAAACGACAGGAGCAGAGCCATAAATCCGAGGAATACTCTCCCGTGAAATATCACCTATACTATCTCTATTCAGGACAGGGTCAAGTTAATCTCCAGCATACAGGTGGAATAGCACTTTAAGCACTTACATTTTATAAATTTTATACACTTCATACACTTCATACACCTCATACTGCATGGTAAAAAGGTTTTTTATATACTGAAGATCCTCTTTTTAAAACTATTTAAATTATTAGGCAAGACAAGCGAGAAGTGTTGTAAATATTCTCTTAAGAGTGAATTTCTAATTACGGGAAAATTGAACAAGCCAAGAAGAGTATAAAATTTAAAAAGCAACTTTCTGAACTGTCGGGAAAGATAAGAGATCGTAAAAAATGTGGACGAGGTGGCTAATAATTTTACAATAGCCATGAAAGCTGTAAACTGGCGTAAACTCTTACAACGAAACGAAATTATTCGTGAATTGCAAGTTTTCACTTGTCTTAGGTTTTGGATTGCATGTCATTGTAATAAATAAATCTGGTTTTTCAAGATCTGGAGTTGAATTCAATTCAAAATTTGTCACAGGTAAAGACAAGTTTACTTCCAGAGCAGTTCAAAGATCTTCATGTGAACTTTGGACTCTTTCACATGTACTGTTTTTCTTCCCTTTTCGCAACTTTCCCTCCACTCAAACATGGGACGTAAAGCCTTTCATGTTTGCTTGGGAGAAAGATTGAAATTGAGGAAGTTGCTTAAAGATCTCCATGTGAACTGTGGTCTCTTTCACATGTACACTTGTACTTTCTTCAAATGGCCATCAGTTTTCAGGTGTGCAAGATATAATGTTCCTTGGGATCTCAAATTAAAGCTGAACTGTTCTAACTTTTTCTTCTTCTTCGCAACTTTTCCTCCACTCAGACATGGAAAGCTTCACCTTCCATGTTTGTTTGGGAGAAAGATTGAAATTGAAGAAGTTACAGCTGCTTAAGGATCTTCATGAGAACCCTGGACTCTTTCACATGTACACTTGTGCTTCCTTAGGTTTATCATTATCATTTGGATGTAGAGAATCTGTACAATTCCGCCGACCTGAAAAATTAAACACAAAAACTAATTATAGTGTCAAGATCTGTAATTAATGAACACTATATACTCACCAAGGGCAGAAGATTCAATTCTTGCGTAAAGAAACTAGTTCCAACAGTTCCATTAAATACAATTTGACGCATCAAAATTTACCAAAGCTAAAGGATAGACTTTCGTGGTTGCATAAATACTAATTAGAAAACTGTCTTAATTGGAATTAATAAGAACACGACTGCTAATGATAATTAATGAAATTATAAACTTTCGGAGGATATTCGAGTTACTTTAATAAGTGGTTTTTGAGTTTGAAGAAGAGCTCTTAATAAATGATACAAAGTTGCATGAAATCCATCGGTTCTTATTGAATCGAGACATAACTAGCCACAAAGTTTAGAAACTTCATCAGTTTATACACTCCGAGTTTGTTGTTGGAAGGTTGAAGTCTCCTGCAACAAGGGGGGGAGGAGAGATTTTCGTTCCTTTCGACCACCGAATGGCATCTCTATTACATGCAAATTCGTAGCTCGTCGGTTTATAAACGAGACTTGAACCCCCGTAGAGCCCGAAGGGGTTAGTTGTTAGTTCAGTTCGGTTTAATTTAGTTTAGTTTGGTCAATAGTTAAACCGTTATTGTATTTTGTGTCCTATCTGGCCAATGAGATGAAAGACCGCTTTTCCTTATTTACATACTTCCTATTCCTGCAAATAGAACTCGCGAAAACTTTTCTTTTTAAATTTCATCAAAGGGAATTATTTAATATATCCCTGACTTTTAAAACATTCATTAAAAAAAACCCCCCCTTTCTCAAACATAAATCAAACAAAAATCCACTTCTGGAAAATAATTAAAGAACAAATTTTATCGTCTAACTATTAGTAACTTTTATTTGTGTCGTAAATCAACAAATCGTGTGTCAATAAAATTATCAGATATCAAGTATAAAATTAGATGTTTGAGTGCATTTACTATCTACATATAATTTTTCTTTCTTACACAAAAAAATAAAGATTTAATCTTTAATAAATTGCTGACTTCGGGATAGTAAAAAGAAATTTGTTCTCAAGAACAAAGTCATAGTTTTTTTTTTAAAATATAAAGAAGTTTGAAATTACGAATTATGAAGAACTTTGTTGAAAGCGTTGTATGATGTTTCCAGATCGAAAATCAATTGTCTAACTTGATTGTCGGAAAGTTCATCGGAAGCTGACATGTTGTTTAGAGTTTGTAGCCAATCGGAAACTTTTTCCTTACCATCGAAATCACTGGGAAGAATGCTAAGTCGATTCATTGTGTCCATTAAATCGCGAAGATCCGGATGCAATTGGTCCATTGCTTTGATTTCCAAACGAAGTTTATCCATTAAGGTGATAAATAAAGATACAATATCGGCAATGCATTTTGATGTATTGCCCTTATCGTCCTTTATCGTTATTGGCCTATCCTCTTTGATTCTCTCGAGAGCAGCTGGACAGTCGAGCCTGAAAGCTCTTGCAAAAGCATCAATCGTTGGATATTGATCGCTCTGTACCTAAAAGGAAAAAAAATGTGTATGACAATTATTCAAAAACAAAATTCAGCTCAAATCTCTTGTTTTGTGGCTCTAAATTAATTTTCTAAAACTTCTCTCTTATTTGGGATAATTATCTCAAATACTTAAGAGAGAAGTTTTCTGAAAACTAATTTACCTTTTCTGGTAAGTATAATAACTTTTTGGGGTAAATAGAAACTTTTTCGCCTCCATGGAAACTGATAAAATTTTTAAATAAACGACTCGGGAGGGAAAGATGTTTAAAAAGTAATGTCATAAATTTACCTGCTTGAAAGCAGCTCTGTATTGTACTAATAATTTACTGCAGGCTGCTGTGTATTCTTTTGGTGTGACACAATCTCTAATATAGGCCTTTTCAAGATGCTGGAGAGTATTAACAACTGCGTATAAATCAGCTTGATTATCGTATTTTTCACGTTCTCTGGAATTTTTATATAATTTCACCTCCTCATATAATTCCGGTCGATCCTGCGCAATCGACATGATTACCTAAAAGCAAAAAATAGTAAAATTATTATTTTTTCCAAATTATTTTTTTTACCTAACTTGGATTGATTCCAATAATTATCAATCATCTATAAAATAGTAAATCTGACACAATATATAGAAAAATTAGTCCAATATGTAATACTTTCGTATTTTATATAAATTAAATTTTTCCTTTAGTTCAAAGCGTAAGGAATTTCCAAGAATTTAAACAAACGTTGCATTTGAATGAATTAGAAATTTAAAAAAATTACAATTTTTCGCATTAAGAAATATTTTTAGGTTATGTTACCCAAAGTGTTTATAGTTAAATAAATTAACACTAATAAACATAGACATTATTATGACAAACAACATTGACATTACGACACAACAGAATTGTTAAAGATGTACTTAAATAAATTAAAATAATAAAATAAAACTCTGCGTGTGAAGTAAAAAGTTTAAATGGTTTTTATTCAATTCTGGGCTTCTGGGAATAATTTTTCAACTCTATTGACTATATTTTTAAAAATGAATTTTTTTAAAACTTGGTTAAATTTATAGGTTATGTTTGGGTACCCTAAGATTTTTAATAAGTCTTCCCCTTTGAATTGAAACGGTAAATTAAATTAATTAATAAAGTGAAAAGTAAATTAAAAGTAAATTAATTCAACTAAATAAACTAGAAAATTAGAACAAAATTTAATGTGACATATAAGAAATGACAAGTGACTCATCCTTTGTCAAAACATTAGATTTTTTCCCCTTAAAAATTTGAACTGTTCTTACCTTAAAACAACTATAACTTGTCACAAAACTTAGTTTTATTAAATCTACACCCTATTTTTGAATAATTAACTAATTATTAATGATTCCTCCCCTAAATTCATGGGGAATAATAGACAATTTCTATTCTTCGAAGTATTGACCTTACGACACTGGCGGGAAAAATGGGAACTTGTTAGCTACTCGCAGAAATCTGCCGTACCTTCTATCGATAAAAGAACTGTCCTCTATTCCTATTGTAAATTTTTTTTGTAATTTTATTGTTGTTATTGTTATTTTATTGTAAATTGTACTTAGTTTAAATAAATATCGGAATGAGTGAAAACCATTTTTTTTAACGTATTCTGCAAGTGACGATATAGTGATTTATAATAAAAAAAGGCTGTAAATTTTAGTAAAAATTTATAAATTCAATTTTTAATCTTCTCTTATACAATTTAAATTCACAAAAACTAAACAAAAAATAACGTTCGTAATTGGTAACATTTAGGAACGATTGAAAATCTCTTTCATCACATTTGGTTTCTTAAACTTAAAATTACAATTTTCAAAAATCTTCCCTTCTTCAATACAAGGACAAGTGAAATTTTCAATTTTTTCACAAATTGCTTTTTCCTTCAATTTCCCACTACTAGACATCACGTTAATTGCCTTTGCATCGACTGTAAAATACATTACACTTAATGTTAATTTTCTCCTATCAACAACTTCCCAGGGTGAGTAGATTCTGATAATATTTCCTTTTTGTCCCTTAAATTCATCAACAAATTCAGGAACGAACATCAATGTTAATACTTTGTTGGTAAAATTGAAAGAATTTTTATTTTCTTCCTCATTTATTTTTATCTCTGAACTTAAGAGATAAGTTAATTGTTCATATTTGTCGGATATTAAAAGACACTCGGCAAATTGTCTACTGTATGCATTGTATAAATTTTGAATGCACAACTCGACAAATTGTGAATTAATACTTTGAAATGTTGACTGATTTTTCTCGTGTCGCCAAATACGTAGAAATGACTTTTCAGTCTCGACTAGTTTTCGTAATTTTGCCGCAAAACTGCCTCTGAAAATAAAAAATAATTTCTTTAGATCCTTTAGTTTATTTTGTAATATTTAATATTTTAAATATTTAATTTTTAATATTTCAATTTTATGAATAATTCAGACTTCGCAATCAATAATTAATTTTTTTTAAAAATATAATAGAAATTCTAAAAAAACAGAAATAGTATCGCTTTTAGTGCCTGAAATCTAAAAAAGTACCAAAATAGTAGCATAAAGTTAAAAAGAGTAGTAAATAGCAGGTTTTAGTAGATGAGTGCGAAGCCTGAAAAATAAATTGAATGAAAGAATAAATCCAAAGATTATTATAAATAAGTCGAAAGACTGCTTTTTGATTTAAAAAAAAGAATCTTACTTCTTTAATCTTCGCTTTTTCTTCTCACTCCTTAGAATATTGCTGAATGATTCCAAATTTGCTTTCGGCGATGTACTCTCATTGTTGATGATGTTAAGTTCACTGGAATTCGGCTGATTAATTCTCGTTGATGAGAACTCAGAAATCCTTTGCGAGGGTAGAAAATGCTCTTGACTTTCTCCTTGGGAAAAAAATGTATCTTGCGAATCCCTTGGCAATTTAGAATCCTGCTGCGGTTTTTTTGTCGTCAAATCGTTGGCTAGATTCACAATATCCGGCGTATCGGCGTCTTCAATAATAAAACTCTTACTTTTCTCCGAGTCAGTTACACTTTCAATAAATAAACTATTATTATCTATAATTTCCTCCTTTGTTGTCTCTGACAAATCATTCGTTATACTTTCTGAATTCTCTATCTTTATATCCTCTGTTTTCAAATTTTGATTTGAATGTTCCTCCCAATCTTCAATTAACTGTGATAATTCCTCTTTTTCTACTTTTATTTCTTTTTCCTCCTCGAAGAATGTTTCCTCAATTTGCGATAAGTTGCATCTTTCCGGAACGGTATTTGTCGTCGTATTCAATTCGCTCTTTACTTTTAATGTACTATCAAAACTCTGATTATTTTTACTTTTTTTCGAATGATTTTTTCGTCGTTTTAACTTTTTGGCTAGAATTTTACCACCAAGAACTGGCGATTTCGTCATCGTCGTTGTCGTCGTCGTCGTCGTCGTCGATTTGGATAAACAAATATCCGGACTTTTTTCACGTTTCTCATTATCATTTTGTCGAGGTCGTTTAATTGAATTCTTATTAATAATTGGCGATTCCGGTGAACGTTTTATTAACGGTGAAGATGGATATTCAACACTCGATTCCAAAAAATCATTTTCATACTTTTCCAACCATTCGGAAACAATTTTTTTACTATCATCTAAAGAATCATCTCGTCTTGATTTTTTATGACTTTCACCAGTGGAATATTTGAGGTTAGATTCATCTGATTGATCGAAATTCAATTTTTGTCTAACCTTTGATTTCAATGATTTTTTCTCATTTGACAATGTCTTTTTGCCAGATGTTGACATTTAAGTGAATAAATATTTTGAACATACCTCTTTTGGGGGAAAAAAATAAATTTTCTTTTTTCACACACCTATGACGAATTCCTGGTGTTTGTGAACAGTCGGTGGTCGACAACGACGGGGGAACATATCGAGAGCGATGTCGCACTTCCTGGCACAGTTTATTGTCGTGAGAAAGTAATCTTCTTCAAACATTACTCGAAAGTAAAAGAACGATAACGTGTGCCGCTATTGTTGATCATATTGTTAATTTAAACACATTTTTCATTATTCGTGAAAGAATTATAACAATGATGCGAGTGACAGTAGATGAATCACATGATTTAAAACAATTCAAACGAGTTTATCATCACACACGAGATAAAAAAACGTATGGACAAGTTGAAATTGTTTTTCAATATTTTAGAATAAAGAGAAAATTTATTTCAATTTTCAATTGTGATTTCACATGAACTTTTAAGAAGAGAGAGAACACTGATGCTTTAAATTTATTTTGATATTAGAGATATTTTTAGAAATGAAAACGACTGTAAACACATATCATGTGTACACGTGAAGTCACGCATAAAAAGTGTGCGCGCGCATATCCGCCATCTTAACGTTACTATGACAACGCAATTATTGTGGTTTGGAAATAATGCTGTTTTCAAAATTTTTTAAATTTTGCATGATTATTTTAGATTCAATGTTTCCCTAATATTCAGATTGTGAATTAGAATAATAAATATTTATGTGTATTGTAGAATTTATCCTTCTTAATACGTAAAATTATCAGTCATTCCGTATTTTAAATAAAATAATTATCCTACCGATAGCAGACGGAAAAGTAACTGATAAACTGAATGGTAACTGAAATTCTACGTAGCTTAATTAATTTCAATCCTTTTTTTTGTTTCTCTAGAAATTTTTAAAGACCGTAGATTCCAATGTAGGTTATGTCAACAAACCGTTATTTACCGTCTGGAAATGAAAATAAAAATATTTTTAAAAAATTTGCAATGGAATTTCCGTTAAATTTCAAATATATAATATATATATTATGTACCCTATGTACATTCACTGCCATTAAAATTATTTTCCCTGACAAAATTCTTTTTACAGGAAAATATGAAAGTTTTTCAAATAATGAGTAAAATTTATATGAATTTTAATAATTTCTAAAAATTATAATTATAACCCCACATGAATTCAAATATTTTCTACAATTTCCAAGTAAACTTCATTTCTAAATCAATTTGAATAATTTTACGAAAGGTTCTTTTAGAATTCAATTATATTTAGATAAAAAAACTCAAGCTTTTATAATAATTATAACTGTTCGTGTTTTTTTTTTAAGTTATTAAGATAAAATATTTTCAAAGAATTATAATAAAGAAATTCTTATGATTAATTTTTTTAAAAGTATTTTTCAATAATTTTTGAAAGATAATAGTTTTTTAATTAAATAGAATTTAAAAATTTTCAAATAATTGAAATTTGGTATAGAATCTTTTAAAAATAGTTAAATTTTTAAGAAATATATATCTTTTTTGTTATGTATTTGAATTTTTGGTAATTCAATTACTTTTAAAAATTTGCAATTAAAATTCTTCAAAAGTTAATTTTTGTATAACAAACTCATTGAAAAAAATAATTATTTCCAAATAAATTTTACAAAATTTCAATTATTCAAAGAGATTTTTATTATAGTTAAAAAACTTCTAAGAAATAGATTTTAAAAATATGTAATTTTTCGAAAATAATTGAATTTCTTAAAACAATTTTTGTACAATTTAAAAAAACTGATTAATTTTTTTAATGAATTTTAATTAAAAATTTTTTAACATGATTTTTTTCTACAAAATGTTAAAAATAATTATAAACTATTATTTGAATTTTTGGAAATATGTAACTGAAAATATTGCGAATTTTACCAAATTAAATGCAAATTTTCATTGATTTTCATTTTTAAATTTTACATTTAATAATTTTTCATTAAAATTTTTGATAATTCAATTATTTTCAAAATTTCCAATTAATATTCTGTAAAAGTTGATTTTCCAAAATTGTAACGAAACACTTGCGAAAAAATTAATTATTTTCAATTAAATTTTAGAAAATTTAAATTATTTCAAAAAGATTTTTATTATAGATAACATTTTGGAAAAATATAATTATATCCTTAAAAAATTGATTCAAAAATATTAAAAGATTTTTTTTATAATTACTTTTCGCACTTGAAAAATCGATATAAGTTGCATTTTTATACTAAAAAAATTTGGTACTTTGTTGCAATATTTTGAAGAAAAGTCGAAAAAGTCGCAATTTTTGAAAATATGTCGAAAAAAATTAATAAATAATCCAATTAATAAAAATACATAATAAATATTGAATAAATAATTAAATAAGACAAATAAATAAGAAATAAATAAATCAAAGTAATGAATAACGAATAAATCTATCGGGTCTAACAATTTATTTTATTATTATTGTTATTATTATTATTATTACTATTAGTATTATTATTATTAATATTAATATTATTGTTTGTTTGTAGTCGGAAATGAAAAATCTGTGAATTCAGATACCTGGATAAAAAAAACTAAGTTATATTATTATTGTTTGTAGTCGAAAGTGAAAAATCTGTGAATTCAGACACCTGGATAAAAAAACCCAGGTTATATTATTATTACTATTATTATTATTATTATTATTACACAGTGATGATAATTATTGTAATTTTACTATAACCTAAACTTTTCTATTAACTTTCATAATAATTTTTATTAACCTTTAAACTTGAGTAAAATTTCAAAGATATTCTTTAGTCTGTTACTTTTATCTCCTTCTATATTAAACTTGCAATAATTGTAACAAGAAGATTAGTCTGCTTGAAATTTTAATAATTATTTTCACGTTTAATTTTCTTTGTTTACTATACGAATGAGAATAACCACGAAATAATGCTAATAGAGAGAGAGAACACGTCTTATTAGATTAAGAAAAGTATTTAAAGTGGTGGGGGTATAAGGACTAGCAATTAAGGAAAACTTCTATTTCAGAAATGGACCACCGTGAGCGCGTCAATCGGAAGGTGTAATCTTTTGGCTAACATGCGAATGATTCCAATAAAAATGTACTTGTATTATGCAAAATTTTGTTTAGAATACAAAAAATTGTTAGAATTCTAAATTAATTGTAAATCCTATCAATATTGTCAATTTTTGTAAATTTGAGGTATTTTTATAGTTATTTGAGTAGTAAATCTTTGTGAAAATGATTCTTAACTTATTTTTCTGTACCTTTCTGCCATTATATTTGCCTTATTTTTATACCTTAATTAAACGTTTCTTCCCAATGGGAAGTAAACGATTGGTTCAATAATGGGCCATGCTTGGCGAACTCCGTTCCATTATTGGAACATTAATGGCAACCATCATTGGACCACCAATGGTTTAAACTTGGGATGATCACGCTACTGCCAATGATCGGTAGCCAAGCATCGGGCCAATATTAGTTGCCAAGGAATTGCCAAGGAAACAAAATCGATTTTCAAAAGCTTGATTTTTTATTGGCAGCCAACAAAAAACCAAGGTTTTGAAAATTGATTTTTTTCAATTATTAATTAAAATTTATTTTTAAAAAATAAATTTTTCAAAATTTTATTTAAAAAAAATATATTTTTTAAAAATATATATTTTTTTAAATTAATAGAACATATTAATTTAATTTGTCACCTCTGGTAAAACAAAGATGAAAGACTGATAAATTCCCTCACTTTATATCTTACAGTGGAGGGATAACTGTGAATGTCTTTGCGAGAGAGGAGCAGGTACTTATATAGAGCCAGTGAAACAGGTCACAAGCGAGAAGAAATCACTAGCATGCACTCTGGCGGCGCTTGTCGGAACTGTTTTCTGGCGCGCATGTATATCCTGACATTATCGACACAGCGCTTGGCAACCAACGTTGCGCCACTTCCGACAAGCGCCGCCAGAGTGCATGCTAGTGATTTCTTCTCGCTTGTGACCTGTTTCACTGGCTCTATATAAGTACCTGCTCCTCTCTCGCAAAGACATTCACAGTCATCCCTCCACTGTAAAATATAAAGTGAGGGAATTTATCAGTCTTTCATCTTTGTTTTACCAGAGGTGACAAATTAAATTAATATGTTCTATTAATTTAAAAAATATATATTTTTAAAAAATATATTTTTTTTAAATAAATTTTTGAAAAACATATTTTAATTAATAATTAAAAAAAATCAATTTTCAAAACCTTGGTTTTTTGTTGGCTGCCAATAAAAAATCAAGCTTTTGAAAATCGATTTTGTTTCCTTGGCAATTCCTTGGCAACTAATATTGGCCCGATGCTTGGCTACCGATCATTGGCAGTAGCGTGATCATCCCAAGTTTAAACCATTGGTGGTCCAATGATGGTTGCCAATTGTTTTGCCAAGAAAAAACCATTGGGTACCAAGCATGGCCCATTATTGAACCAATCGTTAACATTGGCAACTTCCCGTTGGGTTTTAGAAACTTTTAATAGTAGTTTTTAAAAAAATAAAAAGTAGTTAATAGTAGTTCCGTAAAAGTATATACAATTATTTTGAATATTTTTATTCCAATAATTACAAACAGCCTACAATAATTGTAAGACTCGTAAGGTGCTCTTTTCTTCAAAAAGCGTCAATAATATTTAGTATTGTTTTTCTTCTAATGTTTAAAACTTTAAATCAGATAATAGTCAAATAAATAAAATATTTTTTTCCGTTATTTACTATGTAGGAAAAATTATTATTTAATTATAGAGACATTGTTAAAAATATATTAAAAAATATAAAGACATATCTGATTCAAAATTAAAGAAAGATGAAAGTTTACAAATTTTAAATATCCGATAAATAAAGTTATATTCACGAAAAAAAAGATAAATATTCATTCGGTAAATAATAATAAATAGATTTTTTTGAGAAAATGCGGAAAGAAAATTTATGTGCATATCTAATCTTTATGTTCTACTGTTATCTGTATTGTATCAAAATTAACATTCATCAAAAATGCTAAAGATTGAGGAAAGAACTATATAAATGATCATGTCATGTAATACAATAGATATAAATCAATTTAATCTTTTATACGTGTGAGTATTTATTGTGTATATTTATGTATCCCTTTGTTATGTAAATTATATAATTCTCTTAATTCCTAATTATATATACATGAATTTTTTTTTTAGTATAGTCATGCACGAGACGAGACTTTTCTCGCATAAAAATAAGAGATGAAAATCATTCATTGTTTTTCTTGATAGAATTTTTGTTTTTTCAAGATAAGACACGACCATTATTTAAAAATTATTATTTATTTAAAATTCAAATCATTATTTATTAATCAAACAATTTTTGAAAATTTTAAAACGAATCAAAGTATGTTTAAATCGGTCGATTGAAGGTAAGACATAAATTTCGTTTATGCAAAAAAAAAATTAAATTAAAAAAGTCAAACAACAAAGATTCAGGTATTTTAATTATTTTAAGATTGGTATTTTAAAATACCAATTTTCCTGAATGTTTGTTTGACTTTTTTTTAATTTTTATGTTTTTCAGTACGTTTCTAACAATAAGTTGACCAGGTCAAGAATTATT